CTTCTGGTGTTAGGTTTGAGACGATATTATCAAAGTTCCAATTAATTATTTCACTTAAATCAATTCACATGAGAAATCCTAAGCAACTGAAACTAAATCTACTAAGAAAAAAAAAATACTAAGCTAAATTTTAAACCTTCACTTGTACCGAGAAAAAAATAAATCTTTCTATCAAATCTTCGTTTTAAATAACCACTTCGTCGTAAAATTAGAAAATTAAAAAATTAAAGACACTTATCAGGATACAATTAAAACTTACACGACATTATTTTGTTGAACATTAAATAACCATTCATTGTTTCTGCAGCTATTTTCGCCACGTCAACGTTTTTGAATAAAACAAAAGCCCATCCTTTGTGATTTCCAGTCTGAAAAAGTAAAAAAAGTTAAGCAAATCAAATGCTATAGCTTCAAATATAATAATCCAAAAAAATCTTCTTTTCGTATTAGATTAATGATATCCATTAACTGAGTCTGTCAAGGTTTAGTTGCGTCGCTTTCATAATTACGGCATTAACAACTCCAAACAATTGTCTGTCATTAAATGTAGTGTCATATTATAATGCTCTTATTGTCATTCAGGAGCTACTAAAACAAACACAACATCGTTTTAAACAAACGACAATGTCCCGTAACCAATTAGATGATCAGCAAACACCAAACATCAATAATACAACATAGCTCAGCAAAAGTGAATATAGTTGCAGCGCTTAACTATTCCACAATAACTACAGACTTGAAATCCGCGTCATAATTGCAAAACAGAATTATTCTTTAAAGAGGTCAATACTCAATTCAATTTAGGTAAAAACTGTAAAACTTTTTGAGAAACTCCCTTCTTGATTCTCTGTTGGTTTCTCCTAAAAAAAAATCCACTTCTGTCTATTAAATCCCTCTGGGGAAGCAAGCCCAAAGGTTCAAACGACATCAAAGCCTCCTTTTTTCTATTTGACCTCTAATTTGCCAAAAAGCGGCTTTATAAAGAACCTTTTTTTTCCCTCGCTTGTCTAAAAAGTGTATACAGCTACCCCTCAATTGTATTCTAATATAGTCAGCTAAAAAAAAAAAGTCACAAATCGGTGTACTAAAAATATGCAAAAAAAACAAATTCGAAATTTAAACTGATGGCCAAAATAAGGTTGTCTGTACTCAAAATGACAGTGGTCTTCAAAATGATGACAAACTATTAATCAAATCTGATAAAAATTTTTTGCAAAATTTAGTGGAAAATCGAACAATGGTTGACATTTTCCCGAACTTTTAGCAAATCTTGACGAAATTCTAATATTATCGAAAGTTCAGCTGATCAGGTCTACTCCGTGTCATTAGATTTAACTACTCATGGGGCTAACCACTGTGCTGTCGTCTAGTCTAGCTGCCTACTCCCAACACTTTTAATAAACATTGTATCTTGCCTCTAAAACCTTTGTCAAGAGTGGGAATCGCACAAAATGCGCATCTTAAAAAACTCTTTACATTAAACGAGGCAAAAAATAAATCTTTAGGACTTCCTCCATGAGCGGTTGTTTACTTCCCTAATTAAATCATTCGAACTCATAAAGCAAAGCGAAATAAAACGCCTTAGATAAAATGAAAACATTTATAGAAAAAAAATCTTTAACAGCTTATTGATAAGAGATAACAAGAAGAAATTACAAAAGAAATTTAATCTACAAGAGCAGCAGATCTTAAAATCTTTTCAAATTAAAAAAGGCAAGTTTGTCTCTAATTCCGTTAATTACAAAGCCTAGCACTACATTACCTTATAAACTAATCAACTTTCTATCAACTTAATTTGTTTTTATTTTTCAATTTCAAGAAATAACTGAATTCCACCAATCACATCCAATGGAACAGCAAAGTAAAACCGGTGAAAACTCGTATTACGACAGTTTATTTTCTAAACACCCTTCCATTCACCAGTTGCAAACATCTCAAAATATTTAATCTGAATTCGCTCAACTAAATCCCATAGCGTAATTGAAACAGTTACAGCTGATAACCACAATGATCAAAATTGATTTAAAAACAAAAACCTCAACAGTTATACATCTCAAGTTAGGTCCCTTCAATTTGAAAAATCATTTCCTTCAACAGCAAAAATTACCCACTCAAAAAGCATATCAAAACCGACAGTTTACTCAGCGATAAAGTCCCCAAGAGTTTAAATGAGTTACTTTCAATCAGATGAAATTAAAAGACTTAAATTTTTATAAACTGAGCAAGATGAAAAATTAAAGACCGACAAGCAAACAGAATAGTTTATCGCAAAAATTAGTTACGGCGAGCGTAAAGCGATTGTTTCCTTAGATAACACCTCAAATGAAAGCAAATTTAATGGCCGAATAATGTGAAAGAGACACTTGAAGGACTGCTGAAAGAAGCGGAAAAAATGAATTTCTGAGAACAAAACTAATCAACGTCAAATAAAACCTAAAAAGCTTGCCAATCCCCGCTGTACAAACCCGTTTCCACAAACAAACATGTTTACCGCACTTTGCTTGCTATTTCCACTAATTAATGATCATCAACTACTGTAACGTAACAGAAAAGTCTCTTTAACATTACCTACAATAAATAACTCCAAAAACTTCTTTTCTTCTATAACACACAAACGTGTACCACAAGCTAACTCTGAAGTAAGCTGTAATTGGTAAAAAACAGTTCCTCAAAAATGTCATCTTATTCCACTGACTACGTGACCAACTTCAAAAATGTCATCTTAATTTTCAATAACAAAGTCTTAAAAGTTTAAGAATAGGTAAATACCAGATAATTAAAAATTCCTACATCATTTCATCACCTCCAAGCAACAAATTTTAAAATGATATTAGAATCTTACAACAAAAAAACTCATCTCCTTCTGCATAAAAATCAAAGACACTACAATAAATCAAAATAATAAAATTATTATTTACTTTCCATAATTTTATTGAAAGATTTTTAAAGGTACAAATAAACATTATGTAAAAATGACCTTCAAACGTTAAGCTTAAAAAAGATATCCCTCTGATGCCAACTATTTCAAGTATATAATCGGTCGCGCTTTTCTTTTTTTCTCAAATTCAAAAAGATCTCAGATCACATAATTTAGACAAAACAACTGTCCCCAAACATTAACAAAGCATTCCACAGCTTTGCAACGACCCGTAGTATTTATTGCCAGGCACGGACTGAATAATAGCCCATAAGGCATCAAGCAACATATTTCAATACGACCTACTGAAATTAAGCCGTTGAATTCAAATTCTTCTTCAAATTAAAATGATTAGTAAATAAAAGCTATTTAACTTTTTCTCATATATTCCAGAGAAAATTTTAGGTGTAGAAGATAATAGAAAGTAAAGTAAACAGCTGTGCCTTTTTATTCCTAGCAACTCGAACGCGCACGACAATACCAAATTGTTCGAAATACTTTGCCAGTTCCTCCTCGAAAAAACCATACGGAATCCGGTTAAGTTTAACACAGCAAGAAAGTTCATTTGGGTTTTGCAGCACCTCGTACTTCAATCGCCCCTTTGTTCTTTCCAAATGAAACCGTTTTTTTCGCTCCTTTTCCGCCGCAGTGCTCACTTCTGCTTCAAGTTTAACATGGGCTGACTTTGCCATATCACCTCCTGGAACCCATCAACATTAATTTAATGAAACTGTCTGAAAACTAACATAACGCAAACAACCCAATTCCAGACTCTGTATCTCATTTTCGCTGCATTTAACAAAAACAACTGCAAATCATTCATTTCATAAAACGTCTCCAATCTGCGGGCCAATTAAAGCTATCTTGTAAGTCTCTCAAGTGTGTTATAAGTAATCTAGCACAGTAACGAATATAAGTACAGTAACTTCAGCATATTCATTTCCAAACAACAGCTTAAAGTACCAAGTAGATCCAAAGCAACCGTTTAACTGCAGTGACCTGGTATTGCGCAGAACTCAAATTAAGGAAATATCAGATTATGAATAGCTTACTTGAACATAGAAAAATAACTCATTTTTTGCTCGTTCTTCCCATTAAATCAGGTATCCATTTTCTAAAATCCTTTTTCAGGTATCCACTTCCAGTGAAAAAAACGGTCTCCTAGCTATTTTCAATACTTAATAAAAAAGGATAAGTACTCCACTTATAATCCAAAGAATTATCAAACCACCTGAAAAGCTACCTTTGCAAAGAATATTATCTGAAAATAGCACGACAATTCTACAAACACTTCTTTTTAAGACGACCAACCTTCTGCCAGAAAACCTCATTCTCATAACTAGCAAACGAGAATAATTTTTTCAGTTAATTCAAAAAAAAAAAAAAAAAAAAAAAAAAAAAAAAA